TAAATGTAAATAAATTATAGTTTTAAATTTTATAATAATTATTGAAAGTTTACTAAGTATATTGATTGGGGGCAATAACTACTTACCAACACCACTAAATACGCGCGTGCGTGCGCGCGCGCGCGCACACACACACACACACACACACATACATATATATATATATTTTTTTTTTAAGCATTTCACCCCAAGCAAGGCGGGAAGCCACTAGGACGCAAGGGGTTACAGAAGATAGGAAGATCAGATAGGAGTGATAGAAGATAGGATGAGGGTAGTAGATAGATTAGGGCAACTGGAGATGTCGATTGACATTACACTTGAATAGCTGGAGATTATAACTCACAGGGAAACAGGAGAAGGGAAGGGAGTTCCACAGGCGAGAGGTGCGAGACATGAAGCTATTAGAGTAGAAGAGACGGCTACATTTAGGAGTTTCGACAGTGAAGGGGTGAGAGCGGGATGCCAGCCTCGTAGGGCGCTTGAACTCATGAAGTCTGGGAACCAGCGAATGCAGCTCCTCGGAGCAATTTCCATGAAAGTATTTGTAGAACAGACAGAGGGAGGCGACGGTGCGTCTGTGAGAAAGTGACTGTAGACGAGATGCCAGGGCAGGGCCAACCATATTGCATATCCGCTTCTGGAGCCTATCAAGAACCCCGAGGCAAACAGAAGGGGCGCCAGACCATATATGGCAGCAATACTCCATGCAAGGGCGAATTGTGGATTTGTATATCTGGAGGATCGACTCAAGGGAGAAATACTTCCTAGCGCGGCTCAGGGAGCCAACTTTCCTCGCAGTGGACGAGGCAATTGACTCGATGTATTTATTCCATCTCAGGTCAGCAGTCAACGTGAGACCGAGAAGCCGCAGAGAGTTGCTCTCGAGATGTTGAGCATCAGACATTCTAATGGAGGGAAGGGAAGGCTCTCTGTGGTGATTAATAGAGAGCAGTTTTGTCTTCGAAGCGTTGAAGTTGACCAGCCAATTCATGCCCCAGTTCACAATCGATTGGAGGTCCTTTTCGAGACGCACGAATACCTTCAAAACTGCTCCCATTTAACCACCATAGAGAATCCTTCTTGATCGCCATTAGCATGGCTGATTGTAGACTCATGGAGAGCAACACACTGCGCCTTCTTGTCCTAACGTTTTCAACTGATTTGAAGTCGATTGACTACATCGAATCAATAGCTGCATCTACTGCAAGGAAATTTGGGTCACTTTGACATGCAAGAAGGTTTTTCTCGAGTCCATCTTGCACATTTACACATTTATCATTCGACTGTGTATTGAATACTGCTGACATGGTACAGTGCACCTGCTATTCATCTAGTGGCTTTTGACAAAATGCAAAGAAGGATGTGTAATATAATTGATCCTGACTTGGCATCTCGAATTCAATCAGTTTCTCACCGACACGACCTGGTTTTCCTTTGTCTTTTCTACAAATATTACCATGGCAACTGCTCAGGCGAGCTTTAGTCGATAGTACCTTGGCTGTATATATATATATATATATATATATATATATATATATATATATATATATATATATATCCTCTGAGCGCTTATCACCTCATCCTCTTACCATAGCCTATTTCTTTCTTTTCCTTTCCCCTTTTAATTTTCCCTTCCTTTTCGTCCACCTACGACTACGAGATTAGATTCCCTTCCATTTCTACATGTAAATTCTAGAAGACATTTTATGAAAATTTACAGAGAACAGAAGTCGGGGGTATTTGCTTCGGCAACTGTATTTCTGAAAATTTTTTTACTTACACCATAATTCCCCACCTGATGTGACGTTTAAAAAAGCTTTTCCCCTTTTTTGAGGTTGAAACAAAAATGTACAATTTTGTAGTGGATACGTGCATGTTCTGATATAACACCGCTTAAGATGAATAAATACTTACGGCTCTACTTTATGTATTGAGCACTATTTTTAAAGTAATGTTTTGAACGCTGTAATCGTACTGTTCGTTGTCCCCCCCTTCTCTGGTACCGATTTGTTTTGATATATTTACAAGTTGTGCTATCCGAGGTTTTTTCCAAACGAATATTACTATTATATATATATATATATATATATATATATATATATATATATATATATGCGTGTGCGTGTGTGTTCTTGACAAAACTTCGATGAGCGAACGAAGACCGGTGTTTCTGGTGTTATTTGAACGTAGGCTTATCGCTTTATTTCAATGGGGGACGGAGATAAAGAGAGGATGGAACAGTACTAAATGAAAATAAGAACTAGATGATGTCCCTAGTCATGAGCAGTGGGACGAAAACAGTCTACTCCCGTAGATTAAATAAAGTGTTCACTTCAAAATACAATGTAGGTTACCCAGATCGATATACCCCTGAGGAAGGCTGGAGGGCACAACGGCCGAAAACGTTGTGATAACAACAACAAAGATGAGGACAATAGTCCAAATATAAATAGTGTAAACAATTAAATATTATTCGGTTAATCAATCAATCAATTTTACTACACTATTTATATTCGGACTATTATCCTCATCTCTTTTGTTTTTATCACAACGTTTTGGTCGTTGTGCTTTCAGGCCATCCTCGGGTTGAATATCGATCTGGGTGACCAAACTTCGAAACCAAACTCGGGAATAAACACGTTTCAAGAATTTCTTTTTACAAAATACCCACACAATAAACGGACACACTGACCAACTTAGTTTACACGTCAGCGCATATAAATTAATTCGTTTGAAATTGCTGATGTCTTTTTTAACACTCTTAAGAAAGGCATGAACTTTTTTATATTCTTTTGTCAATTCCACAGTCAAGACAATTTACATCCAATTAATAAAGCAATATCTACAGTATTTATATTCAGACTATTATCCTCATCTTTGTTGTTGTTATCACAACGTTTCGGTCACTGTGCTTTTCGGCCTTCCTCGGTTATAATATAAGATCTGGATGACCTACAGAAAATTCTGAACTAAACCCTTTATTTAATCTACGGGGATTGTCTGTTCACGATTCACTGCTCATTTCTAAGGATATCGTCTAGTTATTAATTTTATTTAATGCATAAAATAAGGACTAGACGTTTTTCCTAGACATAAGCAGTGGAACGGGAACAGTCTATTCCTAGAGATTAAATAATGGGTTCATTTCGGAATTTCGTGTAGGTTACCCAGATCGATACACTTGATGAAGGCCGGAAAGCATAACGGCCGAAACGTTATAACAACAACAAAGATGAGAACAATAGCACTAATATAAATAGTGTAAGCTAAATTAAACATCTCTGGGCTAATTAATTAATCAGTTTATATGCATTTTTTGTAGCCAACGTTTTACTAATACAAGAAACATTTAATTGCTTAGTGGGTGTTGATCGTGTAGCACTAAAATCATTTGAAGGGATACTGTTCTGTTTTTTACACTATTTGTATTATTCGGACTATTGTCCTCGTCTTTGTCGCCATATTTATTACAACGTTTCGGCCGTTGTACGCTGCGGCCTTCTTCATGTGTTTGGAATGTCGAACTGAACCCTTTATTTCGCTCACTGGGGTAGACTGTTCTAGTTCCACATGCCATGTTTTAATGGATGTCAGTTGTCATTTATCTCCTGTTAATTTCCCTCTGAAAGTTCTCCACTGCCTTAACCGGGTATTGAACTCTCACTCTTTGGGTCCTGTCACTGGATCTAACCAATGCCGAAATGTTGTAATAAATATGCCGACAAAGATGAGGACAATAGTCCGAATAATGTAAATAGTGTACATAATACCTCATCTCAGAAATATAGACACATACTGAAGGGCCGAAAAATTGTAATAAATATGGCGACAAAGATGAGGACAATAGTCCGAATAATGTAAATAGTGTACATAATACCTCATCTCAGAAATACAGACAGATACTGAAGGGCCGAAACGTTGTAATAAATATGGCGACAAAGATGAGAACAATAGTCCGAATAATATAAATAGTGTATCTAATACCTCATCTCAGAAATACAGACAGATACTGAAGGGCCGAAACGTTGTAATAAATATGGCAATAAAAATGAGGACAATAGTCCTAATAATGTAAATAGTGTACATAATACCTCATCTCAGTAATATAGAAAGATACTGGTCTGTTTTTGAAGAACTCAATATTTGAAATTTAGCCTCCAGCTAGTCTCGAACACTAATATCCAGTAAAGATAGTATCTCACTACCGTTTCACCCACTGTGTCGTCCAGATTTGATTTATTGTTCATCTCGCCTAAACCTAATAATATCAGTATCGAAGGACGGCGTCAGAAAAGTCAGTCTAAACGCCTACGGATGTTTCAGTCAGAATCTTGTCGATAATGGTTCCGGACGGATGTGCCAAGATCGTCGAGGGAAAATCTGACCGGAAGCCACTCTTGGAAACTGGCTTTTAAAATATTTTCTCCAGAGATAATTTTCGGAATTTTGTCAAGGCACTTAACTTGTAAATTCCATGTAAAAGTCAAAGCTCCCAATATATTTGAATGCGAATTGATAGCATACGTTCGTTCGTGACACAAACGACATTTCTAAAATGACAACCACAATTAGTCAAACCAACTCTTCAAATATGTTCACTCCGAAAACAAAGCAGTCACGCAGACGTCATTATTTATTGCTTACGTACACAAATCTGCCATCAATTAGTAATATAATCCAAAATATAAAGTTTTCACGAATGAAAAAAAAATGGAGGTCAAACAAGATCAGGATTTATTAATTAGTCAGATTTAAAGTACAAGTTTAAGAAAATACTTATCCATGATATTTTGAGTTATGTCCCTTATTTTAGTAAAAGACAGATCAAATAAAGTGGAAACGTTAAAAGTGTATTGTGCCAATCTTCGAATTATCATTGGCCTGCCTGCGATCCTTAAACGAATCGAGAACCATTCCATACGTACATCTAGTTTGTGAGCATTAGAAGCTTAAACCAACCATTCGTTCACTTGTATGAAAATAAGAGAAACTAAATTAACAAAATATTCCTGGTCCGTAGTATTTGTGTGTGTATATATATATATATATAGATAGATAGATAGATAGATAGATAGATAGATAGATAGATAGATAGATAGATAGAGATATAGATATCTTACATACATACAT